GAGCCAAGCAAACCTGTAGAATTTCCTTCTCTCATGCAAATTTGAACCCCAAATTTTCCAACTTAGCAATGAGAGCGAAAATTTAAGAGGATGAAAATTTAAACCTTAATCATTCCAATATAGTACTTTGGCTATGCATGTGAAGAAGAAAATATTTGCAGAAGTACTCTTCGCTGAATTTTAAAAATTGGTTTAGGTGTGGAACGTTTCGATAAACAAATGCTGAGGTTAATTTTTCCTCTTGCAGGCGTATTAGAAAACCAAATAACTTCCATCACAGTGCAATTTTGCTTTCTTAGATAAAAATTCGATGAAACGATGGCCAAAATTCCGCCTATTAATCAAATAGTAATTCATTTTTTTCATTTAAATTAAAATATTTTCAACGCCGATAATTCGAATGCATTGAAACTACTTTCTCATCATGCTTGTAAAAGAAAAGGAAATGAAACTTCAAGTAGATGGATTATAATCGCTAAAACTAAAACTGATTTTGGGAACATTTAACAAAAAAATCATGGAAACATATATTTTATTATCACTATTGAAAATGGTCATTTTTAAATTTTTTCGTTATAACCCGAAAAACCACACGAGTATCAAGTTCTATATCAATTCTTCTCCCAAAGTCACATCATCGAATATATATTGTTTAGGTATAATTGTCTTGTTGTTGTCAGGAATTGGTCATTGTAGAGGCAATTGATAGGCTCTGTTCTATCATGAATTCTTTTTGTCATGAATTTGTCATTAATGTCAGAAATTAGCCTTCAATATCAGAAATTGGTCATTTATGTCAAGAATTGGTCATTGATGTAAAGAATTGGTCATGGATGTCAAGAATATGTCATTGATTTCAAGAATTGGTCATTGATGTCAAGAATATGTCATTAATGTCAAGAATTGGTCATTGATGCTAAAATTTGTCAGTGATGTCAAGAATTGGTCATTGATGTCAAGAATTGGTCATGGATGTCAAGAATATGTCATTGATTTCAAGAATTGGTCATTGATGCCAAGAAATTGTTATTGATGTCAAGAATTGGTCATAGAGGTCTGGAATTGATTAATGTTTTCGAGATAAAAATGAAATCACATCAAGTATTAAAAAAACAATTTATGCATAAATGTCAAAAAAATATATTTCAAATATTTCCAGAGCAATAATGCTTAATATAACTGACATTTACATATTTAAATTTCGATAAACGAATAAGGAATTTGTTTGAAGGGACTTAGTTGTAAAAATAATCACTTCGAGATCTCGAGTAAAAACTTTTATAAGTTCATTTTTAATTCGTACGCCACCATCAGGTGAAATAATATTGTTTTTCACAAAGTGAAGGCTAATGTTATCAAATATTTCTCAAATAATCTCTCTCCTCCTCTTATAGGCGCGAGCTCTTTGAATTACTGAAGCGATTCCAGGGAGCCCCGGGAGTGCATTGAATTCAAAGGTGTTGCTCAGGCCTCTCGGGACGGTTTGCCATAGAAAGCTAAAACGAAGCTCTACGTTGTGGTGGGGGTTTTAGAATAATATTTTCCGTACAACTATCTTATATAGTTTTGGGAGCTAGACACATTAATCTTCCCGGATGTAGAGAATTGCTTAAATGCTTCACTGAATGGAACAATTTTTTGAGTTCTGGAAAGAAATAAATATTGAAAATATGTTATCATATTGATCCAATAATCGCCGTTTCTCATTTACAAACTACCAGAAAATCTACAATAATAAATGAATCTTATTCTATTAAGAGGTTTCTCGTGAATAACGCCAAGCAATGAAATCATCTTCTCACAATATTGGAATCACACAGTATGACGTCATTGCAATGAAATGAACACTGCATGTCTGCAATGTTTAATAACTGCTCGGTTTTGCATGTGCGATCTATAGCCTTGTTCGCGGTAATGGACTCGTGTCGATAAACGGGCTATAAAAACTCATGCAGCGAGCAATTAATCTGCCGAAGTGATAACTTCCATAACTTTATCTTCTGTATTTGTGTGGGAGATGAATGAGCCAGAGTTTTTAAGCGTCGCATTAAATAAAACTATTTGGCGCTTTGATTGTACAATTTTTCCGATACAGATCAGAAAAATCTTAACCTCGAAATTTACTTATAACTTTCACACTCGTGAATTTTTCAATCGATCGGTCAAGTGCTTTGATCGATCGTTCTGCTCTTAGAAAATGACTGTGTTTTTTCTTGTCGCAGCATGTATGATTTTTTAATAGTTAAATCAAATAAATGGCTTGCGATATTATTGTTGTGTGAGAGTTATTGATATTGCTGCCTGAAAGATATTGCACGATTTATTTACCCTACAATGTTTATGGATCCTTAGTGATTTTGACTTCGCGTATATACAAAAATTTTGCTAATGCCAACTACTAATTAAATAACAAACACTTTGTAAATAGTCCCTTTATAGGAACCAACTATGCATATTCATTTAAAATCCGCAAGTGTCACCGCTTAATGAAACAACTATTTAACAGAGATTTATGCCCTCATAAAACAAGCCATGTAAGCTGTAGTTACAAATTTTCTGCTTGACATGGCTGCTCTGAGGCTTCGGAGGTTTTTGCATTTGAACTTTGTTGCATGGTGAGCCAGGGGAGGGAACAGACGCTCCATGTTAGAGTGGCAAAGAAAACCGATAACTCCAAGCTAAGCCGCGCTGGCTTTCTTGCTCGTTATGGTGAGAGCAACATGAAAACGAGGCAATATTTGCGCGTGGCCGCGTGATAGCCATTCGATTTTTGATCGGAAATTGTTATTGCACAGATAATATGTGGGAAAATAGAGATCTAGAATGAAACATTCTTTCAAATTTCGGTAGTGCTCGTTAAGTAACTCGGTGACTCGTAACGGATGTACATGTGTGGGGTTAAGTTGGTTTACAAGGCAAGATCTCAGAGATTATTATTTTGGTTTCAAACCATTGGATGAATCGTTGCGTTAACTGAAGAGATAAATTGTGCTCATATATATTATTTATGATGAAACAAAATGGGTTTCACACACGTAAAACGTGATTATTGTAGTCATTATTCATGTTCTGTTCGTAGTAAGTGGCCTTGCATAGGAGTTCAGTTCAGCCATAATTTGTAGCGGAGGCGAACGAACGGAGCGACAGGCACCAGAGACTCCCCAAGGAATCAATTTGCCGATCAAAGATCGGGTCGTGATTTCACCATCAAAATTTCGGCAAATTTTAAGCGTGATAGTCAAGAATAATTTTGAAAAATTTAGCTGCTACCAATCCTACCATAAATACAGATAAGAAACAGATAATATATCGAAGTACTCAATTTCTCCTTTCCTACTGTTCGACCGGCTCGATTGCATTCCTGGAACAAATTTTCAAATAAGAACTGGAAGAATTAGTGAATGAGTACATAGAAATGTACTCATTCGATGAACGAGTACATAGAAAATGCTACTGAAATGGCCATGAATACGAAACGAAATGCGCTTAGAAAGTACCACTTCTTAAACGATGGAGTAAATAAGTTATACGGAATGATTTTCATATGATATGCTTGTATACTTTCATAAACAAATCTGAATGATGACAAATATCTTGTAGCTTTAAATTTAGAAACTCTGAAAAGCATATCGTATATTATTCGGCTTCTCTCTGTCGATTTAAGCCAGAAATTGGGCCCGCGCTGAAGGTCAGCATTGCAATTGGCAGCGAGAGATCACCTCCCTGAAGTGGACATTTCATATCAGATGCATTGTATACAGCGAGAGTCAGTGGGACGAATTTAAAACGAATATTGGGATGGTTTTTAACATATCTCGATCTATTGCTTCATTTCACCGATGGTAACGATAATTCATAAAATTAGTCCATTTTCCGCAGTATTATCAGACAAACAGATAACTAATATATTAACTGGAAAATTTTTGAATACACGCTTTCAGTAAGGTAGAACTCTGAACTCTCTGAGGTGCGTTAAATTTTTCTCATTGGATTGAGATGACTCACTAATAATAATAATAATATTAATAATAAAATAACAATAATAATAATAAACATAATAATAATCACAATAATAATAATAACAATAATAATAATTATAATAATGAAATAAGTTTTCTTACGAACAATATTATTGTAGATGGAAATACAAATATGTACTGAATAATAAATTTATGTTAAAAAGAGGGCTCAAAAATCAATACATACAAACGGGAACGACGTTAAGGATGTAAATTTAAAAAATAATCTTAAAGCGATTTAAACCGAGTACTTGATATGGTGAACCGCCTAACATATTCTTCCATTATAGACTCTATAACCACTTTCAACCCCTTGTTAAAACCAAAGTCGCCGTTCATTTCGCGAAAAAAACTGTTTTGATGTAATTTTTCTTATAGACGCTTTTTTATTTCTCTGCAACGTGCGCGCGAGAAGGAAGTTCCCAGCGAGCTGTGGAAGCTTCGAACCTCGTCGCTAAATTGTAGCCCTTCTGGCACGCTTACGATATTGGGTGTCGATGTGAAGAGGGTAACAGTTCCATCATTCCAGCTGTGGAAAATTTCTAGCGCATTCCCATTACAGTTGGAAAAGATTCAATTTTCTTACATATAATTGCATTGGAGTTTTTGGGGGCAGACGGTTACGTATAATAACGATCGTGAAGTAGATCATGCGAGTTTATCGCTGTTCTAATTCTTTCGCAATAAATAGGAACCAAAAAAGACTACACTATCAATTATACCGATGTTTTTTAATCCTGCAAATTCGGCAGAGGACTACAAACATTATAAAATGTATCTTATATACAGTCACAATCCAATGAACAGAAAATTGTTCAATAGTTCTATCACATACTACATTAAATTTTTTTTATCAGATGTCCGACGGACTAGAATAGTTTTATGTTCTTTTTGGAAAACAAATCAATATCAATGATACTTTTTCAAAAAAGCATAAAAAGTTCTTCCGGTTTCGTAAACACCCATACCAGAGAAGCTCACCTGTTTCGTTGATAGGCGCGACTGATTTCGTTATGGACACGTTGCCAAATATAACCTGTGAGGAGAAACTGTCACGATCTAACACGCGTCAGCTTAAACTCTTCTGGTGAGATGGATCAGCTTTGGGAAAGTTCAAAGCCCCCGCTAATAAGGATTACTGCCGATACTTTCAGGACATGACTTTGGCAGGAGTTTTCTGTAACACAATAGGTATATATAATCATACAAAGCAGGTTGTTTCATAACTCGAATGTCGACATTAAACTGTGTCATGCAAATATTGAACATGTATCTGTCATATGCATTGCTTTTCCTATGTAGCCGAAGATTTCTTCGGAGCTACACTATTCTTAAACACATTGGTAAAACTCTGCTCTGGACATTCATTTGATTTTGCAACGACTAAACGGTTATGAGTTTTAAATTAGACTCACTATGGTGAGTGACCGAAACGGCAATGCGTTCATGTAAATTATTCTCTGTGGTATTAATTAGAAACCGTATGTGGGACGGGCTTTAATTTTAGTCTTCTTTACTCATGCTCAGCAGATAGTATTATTCGAGTTGCGTATAAGTCCAAAGTTTAAACAACTTTGGCGTCTTGTTGTTGTTAGGGGCTCAACAAATTTGCATTTCTTGACTTTTCGTATTAAAAACATTTCCAAGTTTCGCGAATAATTAGATTGTGTTAAAAGAGCAATGCTTCTAAGTAAAGGACTTAGGTGTGGAGCTGCCCATTAAAATATTGAATGAATATATAAGAACTAGTTCATTTTTTTTCACAGCATAATTCTAAATAATTTTGAGTTGTACATAAACAACTTTATAGAGCATATCATCATAACACTGAACGTTTTGCTGGGAATTCATATATACACATAACACACATTTTTCACAGAATATTGTAATATCGTAAAATCAAATGATATTATTCCTTGTGCTTATAATAATCATTGCGATTTAAAATAACTAAAGTTTAGTTCATTAAGATTGTAAAGCAAAAGTCATTTCATTGCCTGAATCTCTTTCTATAATTGGTGCAGATGTAATATTTAATGGATCAACAAGATTTTTGAGGACTGGATTTGAAAAATTGAAACCATCCGGGGCGTGAAATTCTCATTACTTATAATTATAAATGACATCATAAAAAACCTAGAATGCTTGAGTAAAAGAATACGCGGGGCAGCCAAAAGGTTTACTTAGGTTAACTTCAACATCGAAGGAGAATAAAAAGTTCTATATACCCTCTCTGCAGCTCAAACGAAGTGATGTAAATTCCTTGCACGTGAAATATAAACAATTATTCTGTAACAATGAACCAGATGACCATTATAAATCCAAGTGGAATCCAAGTGGAAAAGATAGCGTACATTTTTTTAACAACTGTTGCAAAACCCAAAATCTAGAATGAAAATGAACCGAGAAGAAGTCAGAACTGAGTCACGGTCTAGAGTCGCGACGACGCCTCTCAGGGCACCGGGCACGTGTGTTCTGGTCAGGGCGGGTTCGCTAAGGTTAGTCGCGCTAGGCCCAGAGCTCCACCCTAACTTATAGCCACAGCGGGGGAGGTCGCGGCCAGCCAAGCAGGCATGCAGCTCAGCAAGAGACCCAGCAGCAAGCGCTCTCTTCCAACACCCACTCACGTGAACGCTAGCGCCTCCACCCACAACACGACGCGTACACACGCTTACCGCACTGCCGTGAACTGCACCTGGTGTCGTGAACTGCAGCTGCTGCCGTGAACTGCACCTGCTGTCGTGAACTGCATCCGTTGTCGTGAACTGCACCTGTTGTCTTGAGCTGCATCCGCTGTCGCGAATTGCACCTGCTGTCGCGAATTGCACCTGCTATCGTGAACTGCATCCGAGTTTACGAGGAATAGGCATTGGGGAACAGTGACAGTTAGATGTCTGTGTATATTGACGTGGAGGGGTTTGGTTAAATATACAAAACTGCATTTTATTAAAGTTTTGTTAAAAACTACAAAACTGTTTTTTATTAAACGCGTTTTTGTATTTACATTAAAATCTTCTAAAACTTTGTATGTGATTAAGTAATATTCAATTGCAAATGTGATAATTAGCCAATTAACTACATTGATTTACGAGTAAATATCGAACGTAGCTCAATTTTGCAGAGTAAATACCTATCCGGAGACACTTAATCCTTACATTAATTCGCTGAATATTACAGAGTGAATAAATATTCGAAGAAAACTTCGACTCTTAAGTTGTTTTGTCGCCTTAGCTCAACCGCGGGAGTTCCAAAAAGTACTTGCAGAAATATCTCCGATTTTTTCCGAGGTACAGTTAAGCAAATTTTCCACAAACTTAACTTATCTTCTTCTTGTATTGCTGAGCGAGAAAGAGCACGGCTCCTGCGGGAGATTAACCTGGAAGAAATGTTAAGACGGGCTGTAAAATTTGTAATGAGCAGCCGCACGTTCATTCATGACCGTACGTGGCACCAAGAACTTGTGAAAGGTCGTATGCTGTCTTTGCATTTTGCATGCATCTTGACTCTTTCTTGGCGATCACTGGTCGGTCAAACTTGAAGCAAGTATGAATTTTGAACCGAGATAAAGAAGTAGAAGATATAAGAATATTATTGTCGTAACTCACCAAGTAAGAAACAATTAAACAATTCTTCAGCTGAATATAGGAAATTAAGCCGAAAACCTTATTTCCAACTATCATTTTTCATTTAATCATCAGTATCATTTTAAAATTATAGTGCGGTACTAAAATTATATTTTTCACCTATCTTCAAATCTTAACACCTATAATTTTTGCATGCCCCAACTTTCAAGCTGCGGAATAAGTAGGTTTTCAAATATTTTTGTAAGCTTCAAAGGTCCGGCAACATAAGAGGGAAGTGAGAGGCAGTGTTTGAGTTACGGCCGCTGTGTTGACTTACATCGGTTGACCCGATATTGACGTGCGGCGCAGAGGAGGAGAGCTTCTCCTATATTATCGCGCCTCGGCGTTTGAAGCTTCAGTGGTCCGCTTCATCGTGCCTTATTGCGTCATTTTCTGGTGCTTATCATGTGTCAACGCGATGTGACTCATGTGCATTGTAGTCAAGTGTTATGAACTTGTCGCAACTAAAGTGCGGCGAAGAGAACACGAAAATATTGGATTTTGAAGTGCGTTCAAAATAGAGCCTAAAAATACACAGGTAATCTAAGTCTCTACACATATTACGAGTATTTCCCCAAGGTTGAAACGAGCTAGTCTCGCACGCACATGAATTTCCAGTGAGATCAAAATTTGAATGCAATAATTCAGCATTACCTTTGTCATTTAGATCATAATTCTGATACGTCCAAACAATTCGATTGTCGTTGTCAGATGAGAGGAAAGTTGACAGCCCCCATACGCAAACGTCGTATTATTTTGTAGAGAACGGTTTCTTTGCGAATCTTTCTGTACTAAAAGAAAGATAAATAAATCATAAGCCCACTTAGATTTACCTACCCTAAGATTTAGCCTCATAATTACACTTCAATTTTTGATTTATTGAGAGATGCCAGCCAGCGCCGTTAGAAAACTTGAGTGCCAATTGGACTGAGCCAACGGCAATTTGTGCAACGCTTCAAAGGAATGTCGCTCCGAGACGTGACCATTTGACGCTACGAATCTCAACGAAATTCGAGGGGCTCTTGCTACAACGACCGGATTTATACGGAAAATCGCGTTCAGACTCAAACGCTAACAAAAATAAAGTAGCTAAGCGATGATTCAAGTGGATGAACAACCTCGAACATCTGGAAGGTTAAGACTTATATTACTCAAAGCAACGGCAAATTCCTAGGCCAATCACGAATTGCAGAGACTTTATATACCAAGTATTTTATTTTTAATTATGAGAATAACGAACGCTGTTTGTAAACGTATTGTAATCTTCTGCAAAACATAAATATCTTAAATGTCAATTTGTAATCTAAAATTCTCTTCTATATTTTTTAATTGAAATACCGAGGACAATTAAGTGGTTTGGTTCCTACCAAACATATTAAAACTATTAAAATTTTTAACTTTACAATAATATATAATAAACTGAACTGGTTGTCCGGAGAACTAAAAATAAATCTCAACCCTATTTGTTTGCCGGTCAATGACTTTGTGCTGGTTCCTACTAATGTGGTTAGTTTCTCTAAAAAACCTTCGCAAAAAGCCAACCGGCGGCTAATACGATAAAGTTACGCAGTTTAGTGCATCGCCGCGCCATGCTCGGCTCATGCATGGACTCCGTACGGCCGAGTGAAACGCCGCGCCATTGTTGGCTCAGGGACTCCTTATGTTGGAGTTTAAACATGGAGACTAGTGGTTGCAATGGTTTGAATAAATACTAGTGTACAGTAATTATGCATAATGCAGGAGAGTTACAAGGGATATTCAATTCGAAGGATTGCTAATTGCAAGTCAGCAAAAACATTATTGACATGCATTGAGTTCATCTGTTGATTTTCAGAAAGGTAAGAGAAATCGAAGTAGCGATAAATCCCTCTAATGCACGTATAGACAAAGTTTTTTTGTGACTGAGACATTCAGATTTGAACTGAAATAGTCAAAAAATTAAACGAACATGAATATTGTATGATTTGCATTAGATCTTTTCCCCGTTCCAGCAAACATCAAATTGCTCGCTTGATTTTAATTTGGAAGCAGCAGGAGACGCTACAGGAGAATGCTCGTCAAACTTTATGCTTCTTTAATTGTGCCACATGGGTCATAATTGAAATTTAAAGGGTCAGCATGATCCACAAATGGAGCAATTAAATAAAATGCATCTTTATTTGGACGCGATTGACTCATATAAATGGGTCATCCAGACCACTCATTTTTCTTAGTGTAGTTTAAGTGACATTTAAAATTCAAACATCAGAAAAGAATTTACTTCAAAAGAATGACCGATTGGCTGACCGATTGAATTAATTACTTCGTTCCAGTATTCTAGGAAGTGAAATTTGCTTTTATGTCTATTATTTTCAGACGGGGATGAAATTACGGGATTAGACGGTGATTAATTGCTTGATCCAATTGATTTGATCCAATTTATGTAGTCAATATTTTCCATAATATTATTACGAATAAATCTGACTACTTATGCAATACGAATATACATATATTAAAGTAAAATTTACTCAATGCACTGGCAACGTACGGCATGTTTTAAACATAAAATATAATTTAC